GACTAACATGGCGGGACCGTCCGGTCCAGGCCTGGACCGGACGGTCTGGCCGTCTGGAACACTTCCAGCTCGTTCTGTGGTTCCTTTCTCGCGTCGTTCTCTTCACTGTGATCCATCCCTAATGGTGTGTGACCCTGTAGGCCCATTCGAAGTGGTAGTGGCTTCGGAAACCCTTTTCCCAAACCACAAGTCATGGTTAGCCTCTAGCAAGACACCATGACCACCCACCTAGAATAGAGTTAGAGGTGATCTAACAAAGCCAGCAATAGTTCGAGTTCTGATCCTTTGTCTCACGATGTCGTATGTTGAACAAAGGCATGGTATGAGCCACCCTTCAAGTTCAACCGCTTACTCGTCTGGGCAAACCGACTGATAAAATAGATGTACATTCATCTACAGCGTGACCACGCATTTTCACAGTCCGATTTCCACGAGGGGTCCAGCGACATCTCTCCTGCGTAGGAGGTGACAAGTCCCTTATTGCATGTCTACTATCTGCATATGATTCGTGAACATATATGAGCAACGTCGTTATGATCATCCGGTTAAAGACGACGTTTGACGCAGTCAAGACACGTCACTCCTCATATCAGATACTCTAGACATCTCAGGTCTGAGGATCCAAGAACGAACCGCTGTATAAGATTCAAGTCATGACTCATGTCCATGTGACAATCTCATGCGGGTCATCCAGTAACTCGTTCCAAACGAGAACCCATGATTGTGATTTGCATCCAATGCACATGATCATAATCATCTATCACACATCATGCTGGTCTTAATTCATCATTGTTCCCACAATGATAACTGACCAGGGAGTTTAGAATCATCTGCAATGATTCAAGGATATTCACCGTAATATAACAAACATGCTAATCATATAACGGAAAAAGTAATACATTCATAAACCAATGAATCAATATATAGTCAAAATATCATATCACGGATCATCGTAGAGCATTACAACCAACAATTATAACCAAACTTTGTTTTTTGGTTGAATGTGATTGTGTATTTAAACCAAAACTTGATATCTAATGGTTGTCGATATAGTTTTCAAAACATTGCACCAAATTTTCTAATGGTTGGATGTAATTATCTACCGAGTTTTTTGATACCATATACCATTAACTTTAACAAACTGATAAAATTCTATACAAATATGTCATTTTACATATATATGTGTTGGACTAATGGAAAGATATATACATATATACACAGGATATATATATACATATACACACACCTTATTTATTTTCCCCTCAAAATCTTAAGAATTTTCCTCGCCGCGTGCACATCTCCGAATAATGCAACTGTTCAAAATTCAAAAGACACATCATCGCTGATGCATGTATATACGTCACGATGACGCCATTTGTAAGAAGATGGAATAAGATTAATGAAAAAAGGTTTTTTAATTTGTTTGTGAAACTCGAATAATTGATACGCGACGGAGGTTTATCCTTTTAGGGTGGGTTGGCGCACACCTTAACTAACCTCCAATTAGATTCTGTCGGCAAAAAGACCAAAGTCCGTACACAGTCACATCAATATAGAGTGCTTACATGTTTACAAATTAATTGGCTTCCATTACCTATACGTATGTTTTTTTTGGTAAATACATATGTGCATTTTCACAATCCCTACCTGTTAACATACGCTCATTTCTTTATTTTTCTTTTTCTTTTTAAAATTTTTATCCTTAATAATTCAATGTGATCTTTTATTAAAGTTTCACAAAAGAGCTAGCAGGAGGATGGGATGAATAATATTTAATATTAATAAAATCATATTCACATGAATATATTTACATCTAGAACCCTAGACCCCAAACCACAGAGTACCCGACAATAATAACCCCATGACCAACTCCAATCAACCACAAACCCCAATTACTGTACAAACACAACCAAATCCAAAGCCTTGGGAAGAGATCTTAGATCTTAGAATGAAAACCCTAAACAGAAACCCTCAAGAAAATGACTTTGACAAACCCAGGTTATAAAGAAACTTCTCAGACCTTGACTTGAAGAGATTGCTCAACGAGAACTTCCCTGTCTCCTGTTGTGTTCCCGGGGAACCCGAAAAGCCTTCGTCTTTCACCCGAAGAACGGTCCTTCCGATCTGATTTCGCACCGTCTCTATTGTTTGGCTCTTAACCGGCTTCCCAGATGAATCTGTGACGTAGAAAGCGTTCACGGCTTGAGAACCCCTCGTTGTCACCTCGGCTCTCGTCACTGACAGACCGTTCTCTCTGAATATACGAGTCACGTCTGAAAGAAGCCCCACTCTGTCTTCCCCGCATAGCTCTAGTCTTATGCCCTGAAAACCACCAAAAACCACTCTCTAGTTATGTCATATATCCATCTCGGTAGGTATGGGTACGGGTTGGATACTCGGAAAAATTGGGATACCAAAATCGAATATCATAATTTGATACCCATATTGGTAATATGATGGTCTTATCCGAATTACGGGTACCCGACGAAATGTTTGGATACTCAAGTACTCAGAACAAAAAAAATATGTTGAAAAAATAATTATAACAAAAAATCTATGAAAAGCAGAGTACCCAATGTTTGGGTATGGATCCAAGTTTAGAAAAATGAGGAGATTCTTTTCCATCATCCCTCTGAAGTTCGTCTCTTTATGGCTGCTTCCAAGCAATGTATCAGCCTCTGTCTCTCGGCTTCCGAACTTACAGGACCACCATCGACATGCCTGATGTAGTACTCCTGTTTATACAACCGAAATCGTTAAGAACTTTTTATTTTTGTTATACCACTTTGAAGATATCCGAATCTGACGGGTAATATGGGCGAGGGACGTAAGATCGGGAAAAGAACCTGATAGGCCTCTGGACCCTCGACCAAGTAGTTTAAATCATAATTAAAATTATAAAATTTTGCTTATAAAAGTCGAGTATTTTCTATAACGTGGAAAGTATTTAGCATGTGTTCCACCGGATTTTTTTTAAAAAAAAGGTTTTTATACACAAAACAAAATAATATTTATTGCTTAAGATCAAAAGCATATTATTTTTTATGTAAAATATATTAAAAACACATAAAAATCTGATTAATTTTTTTTTGCACGACAAAAAAGTGAAAAAAAAAAGTTTATATCAAGGGGACTTGGACGAGATAATATATTTAGATGTTGCAATAGTAATCAAGTGAGTGGATAATATCAATAAATAGCATCATTACAAAATCAGGATTATATTTGGGGGGCGGATGTAGATTAGTGATAACTCCATATTTAGAGAGTTTTGATAGTTAAAAATTGGGCGTAATTCCAAAATGAAAATAATAATTAGGGATTGATCTAATGTGTAATAAGGTGGTTATAAAGGAAAAGTGCTCATTGTAAATGAGATTAAATGGGGCTTTTAAAAAAAGAGGTTGCGGTACAAGGAAGCAGAGAATGTCAACTCTCTCCGTCTATGAGCAGACAACCGCCATGTGGTTTGGTAGGCATGGGCCAAACTCCTAATATCTAATTTCATTCTTATATCTAAATATCTTTTTTTTTAATATTAGACGATCCAAAATGTAATAATAATAATAATAATAATAGTAATAGATGTTTACATTATCTATCTATTTCAATTGTGTGTGCTTTTGTGAAAATTACTGTTTATATAAATTAGTTTGATTATTTAAGGTGCTTAAGACTGATGTGCATATATGAAATTCATCTAATAACCAAAGGGTATTATTGACATCCATTATTCAAGTATTTACCAGAGATTCAGATCATGGGCTTGACTTATTTTGTCCCGTATAAGACATTTAAATTTATTTGGATACCTTATTGTAGTGGCCCGATTCTTATGAATCCTGCAAATGGTCCAATAACATTTATGCTTTCATTGGACCACACTTTGTAATTATTCTCATTCCTTTCACATACTTTTATTTATTTTATTCTAAATACCAAATATCCTGTGTGAAAAAAAAATTCAATACAAAATACTTCATTTTTAACCACCTAAGAAATTCCTTAACCCACCAAAAATTCTTATCAATATCCGGACTTGTAGCTTTCATGCCAATTGATATTCAAAATTTAGCCACTCTTACAAGATGGGCTTCAAATAAAATGTAAACGGGCTTAGGCCCAAAGTGTTTTGGACCTTTGAGGATACACCTGCAGGCCTTGAGCAGACAACACAAGGCTTCGTTGACTTCTGAGGGTTGACTTTTCCGACCAGGCTCCAAACACTTTGGAAGTGGAACCGTACAAGTCCTTCATGTCATGATAAATCCATCTAAGATCGGTCCATTTACCATCACCATCATTATATCATTACATCCTATGTCTTGTCTCCATTTATTAACTTTTTTTCCCTTAACATAATTTATGTAGCTGCAGACTTTGTTCTCTCTTCACAAACATTATCCGTATATTATACGAAAGAAATATAGATCTCAATTCTCTGAACCACCACAAAAGATTAGGATTGAGCAAAATTATCCAGTGGAGGTGGTCTGGTGGTAAATAGGTCACAAAGTAACTCTCCTCACCAGGGTTTAAATCTCATGGGCAACCAATTATAAAAGAAAAAATCCCTAAAATTTGATATTCGTTGATAACTATCCTACGGATTTCCGATTTTAATATACTCAAATTCATCTAAATCCAAATCCAAATCTATGAATATCCACGAGTCAAAATCCAAATCCGAATAATAAAATTTTTAAAATTATGTATCGATAGATATTTGATTAGTTTTGTTATAAATAATTAAACCCTATATGCTTATAATATTTTTATAAAATATAATTATTTTGGATTAAATAATTTTATATTTCTCAATATTATCAAAATAACTAAATTTATTATTATATCTCTCGTAATCCCTTTTTAGATAGTATTTTTATATTAAAATGTCAATCTTTATAAATATACCTTCATCTTATTAATTTTTTACCCTTGTTTATTATTAAATAAATTCAAATCTAAATACCCGCTAATACCCGAATGTTATTTCGAATATTCGTAAATCTCAAATCCCAAATATAAATCTTAAAATAACATATCCGAAATTTTCCAATTTGGATCCCGGTTGTGTTGCATATCCGATGTGTGCCCGTTCCTACATAAGATTATATAGAAGATTGAAACAGCCTCGTTTTTCTTATTCATGGAGAAGAATGAAATGTCAAATACTTATGAAAACATACAAAAGAAGAGAAAACCCATCAAGAAAGTTTCATCCTTTTTTCACCAACAGCAGTAACCAAACACGGATTCAACGAGAGATTCTCAGGAAACGCATAAAAGCTATATGAACAGAGAGCTCGGGGTTTTACTACTGGTCCGGACTGACGTCTCCCCACCGGACATTGTACCTTGCGGCAAGATAATGGGCGCCGACAGGCCCACGGCTACCGTAAGGATAGTACTCGGGGATGGTTTTCTTCTCTTCCAGCTCTTTGAGTACTGGACTGAACAGTGCCCAAGCGGCATCGAGCTCGTCGCTTCTGATGAACAACCTTCGTTCTCCTTCAATGGCGTCCAGTAGAAGCCTCTCATATGCATCCGGGATCTCCTTGGAATACCTATCTCGAGGAAATTTGATGCTTAAGTCTTAGTTTTCGATAGAGTTTGGCTGGTTACCTAAGCCGAGAAGAACACAGCTAATATAGATGAACTGATCTTGTTCCGTAACTTTTACCTTGCAGAATAGAGAAGATTCAAGTTACTGCGATCTAATCTCATTCCCAGCCCAGGGACCTTGTTGTTGATTTTCAGATAGATGGCTTCGTCTGGCTGGACACGGATAACAAGTTCATTTGTAGCTCGATCAAGATCAGTACCGAAGTTCCGGTTATATAAATTTCCGGGCACATGCCTAAACTGCACTCTTATCTCCGCCCTGTATAGACGATGTGGCATTGTTTACTTTCATTATTCAAATCAGACAAAAAGATTCAATATGCAGGTTGCAGGATTTCCCTCTCGAGCAGAGGTACCTCTTTGTGTGCAGTGCTTTACCGGCTTTCATAAGGAAAGGAACGCCGTCCCATCTAGCATTGTCAATGAAGAGAGCAGCGGCTGCAAATGTAGGGGTAAGACTGTCATTTGGCACGGTTTTATCGTCAGTATAGCCTGGATAGGTAACTCCTCCCTTTGTGTGGCTCTTGTATTGTCCTGTCACAACATCTTCAAGCCCTATCTGCCTCATAGAACGCAGAACCTTAACCTGAAATTAACACAAGAAATCCATAAACCCTTTTCTTGGGCTGACCCGAAAGTAGAATCCTTTCACACACAAAAAAAAAGCGAAAAAGGTTTGAGACCTTTTCGTTCCTTATATCCTCTGCATCCAAGCTAACAGGTGTTTCCATGGCAAAGAGAGCTAATATCTGAAGCAGATGATTCTGCATTATATCTCTTATGATCCCATAATGGTCAAAGTACCTGAATCATACCAAGAAACAAAAACAGACAGGAAAGGAAGAACGTCAAAGCATAAGCTTTGAAACAGAAGAGAGATCAAAAGCCAGCATAAGGAAGCCACGGTTACCCTCCACGCCCTTCAGTGCCAAAATCCTCGGAGAATATCAATTGTACATTCCTTATGTACTGCCTTGACCATAGTGGTTCGAATATAAGGTTTGAGAACCGGAGAACTGATAAGTTCTCAACTAGTTCCTTCCCTAAGTAATGGTCTATCCTGTTAAAACCCAAATTTATCGTATCAGTCATATATCAAACACCGATCTCCATCGGAACAATAAAGAACAAGTCAAAGATCTTCACCTAAAAATTTGGTCTTCCTTCAGGTACTGCTTAAGGGATTTTGTCAAAGCAGCCGAGGTTTCGGAATCTCTACCAAAGGGTTTCTCGACAATGACCCTAGTCCAGCCATTGACAGACGAAGCAGAAGAACTTGCACATTTGACCGCATCTACAAATATATTTGGAGGGATTGATAGATAAAAGAGACGATTTGAAACTCTTCCGCCCTGCAAATAATTGTGTTACGGATAAGATCACCAAAGAAAAGGATGGCAAGCCAACCCAAAAAACTCTATCCTATAGATTTTGGATACATTAACATTTTTACAGATTCACAGAAAGGATTATGACCTTGCTTAACCTTAAGAATTGAGGGAATAGTTCGTTTCGGTTGCAAAAGATTCATAAGAAAACCAGATTATGTCACTTGGAAAATTCGGAATAAAACATCAAATACCTCATGTTCTTTGAGCTTCTTGTCCAATTCTACGAAATGCTCCCGAGAATCATATTGACCCGAATGGTAAAAACATCTCTTGAGAAACTCTTCCATCTTTTCGTCGCAGTTTTCCCTAAAAATCCAGATGAAAGAACGCATAAAAACTCAGAACAAAAACAAATCATAATAAATCGTGAAACAAACAATAAAGACTCGTATTTGGTAATTGAAAAGCAAGCTCTGGACATTCACATTCACATTTTAAACTAAAAATTAAAACTTTAGGAGCTACAGTTACCTCTTATCAATCCTGCAGGTCAGGGTTCTGCCGACCATGCTTCTAAGCTCTGCATCAGTCATCTTGCTCCTAGCATAACCATATATCGTAAAATGCTGCGATCGGAACAAATCAAATTGACAATCCTGAAGCATATTGATGCAAGAAAACACAGTAATCATCCAAAACATGACAGGTTCAGATACCTCGGGAAGGCAATCTTCATAATAAAGGGCGAAAAGGGCCGGGAATATCTTCTTCTTGGCAAGATCACCAGAGGCTCCAACGACTGTTATACTAACAGTTGATTGATTTTTATCATCAGAATCAGCTGGAACCCTGACTGATTCTTCAGATGGAATTGATAATAACCCATCTTTCAATCCCTTGAGAACAGTTTTAGCTTCTGCCGGGCTTGTTTTCGTCACCACTGCACCTAAAATCAATTCAGCTTCTAGCATTAGAGACAGAGTGCAGAATCCCCCGCTATTTTTAAATAGCTGCTGATGAACTAACTATACACTACAGATACAGAAAATGCACCCGATAGATTCGATATTGCTAGACAGGAAATTCACACAGAAAATCAATCAAATACTTATATAAACTCCACTTCCAAACTCAAATTCATCAACCAGACAACAACAATACAAAAAACAACAAGCATTGGCTAAGCTTCAGGACACACAGAAACCGATCAGAAACTAACCATCTTGCATGACGACAGCACTCCGACCGGACTTCCTCCGAAACCCAGCACAGAGGTCATCCAGAGGCAACCCTTGACCGAAAGAAGAAGAGAACGACAAGCACTGACGTTGTCTGATCGGCGAAGAACAATTCGACAAGAACGAAGACGAATTGCCGGAGCGATAAGATCGGCAGCTCGCGGAGGAGGTAAAAGACGCCATCTTTAACGTGATCCCGGACACAGATGGATCAAAAAGGAGACGAATTTGAGGGAAGGAGACAGAAAGAGAAGACGGGTTTGGCAAGAGAGAGAGAGGGCTTAGCTTAATAAGAACTTAGGAAACATCGAAGGGGTGTTAGGGCAATGCGATGATAAGGACCCTTCGAGATTTCCAAAGGTTGTCGTCGCCAAAACAGAACTGGTACGTGAAGGGCTAACTAGTGGAGGAATATTCCATTCTATTCTATTCAATTCAATTCAATTCAATTGAACCAAATTCCAAGTGGACTTCTCTCTCTCCTCTTTTCCCTTTTATGTATGTTTTGGATTTCCTGAAGCTGCTGTTAATATTAGGATTAAATTGATCAATTCGATCTATTGTTAGATTGATGAGAAAGATTCGGGCTTTTTTTTTTTTTGCCAAACGTGCGTGTATTTGTGGATGGGGACAGTGACCATCTTGTTCATAGAATCATCACCCATTTAAAAAAACAGTAACTTTAAAGTGCAATCTTTTTGTGAGGTAAGACAGACAATTAAGCAACTCTTCAAAGTAAAAAAAAAAAAGGATACAAGAGCCGGGAATCACACAACTCAATGGCAGTAACTAACAGAGAAGAATACTCTCTTCCTACTGAATGATAGGCAAAAAAAGAAGAAAAAAAGGCTCCAAAACACAGAGCCAAGAACCTGCAGCTCTCAATCAAAATACTCAACAACATGTTCTCCCAAGAATTCTACAACCCAAAAAAAAGAGATGGAAGAAAACAAAATCCCTAACCCGGTGAAACAAAAATGACAAGAAGATTACCAAATGGCCTGCCTGGTTTTTACTCAAACTCGGATTCCTACACCTCAAAACTGTCTGTTGTCTGTCTCAGAGGACAAGAGCTACTTTCTCAGGGGACACCAGCGAGGATGGATGCGCGATCAAGGGCTCGTAGTGATCGGCTCCTGCCCCGCACCAGCCTGTGATTCCCAAAAGGAATGATGGGTTTATATCAGATGTGTATTGTGAGTGTGAATGAGAAGGCTGGATTGAACTGAAGTGTTTTACCTGTCCCTTTCATGAACAGAAACACGGGCAAGTCTCTGATTTCGCTTCTCGGTCTGTGAGGAAGGAAGAACACACAGTTCTCCTCTTCTACCATCCCATCTGACCCATGGGCTTGCACCTACACAAAGCTTGACGTTCAGGTCGAGGGGTCTGAATGACAATGGCAATATCTGTGGATAAACTTGATTTATTTACTCACCACGAAGATTTCTCGTTTGAATTCCGTGGCGAGACACTCAATTGCTATGTCATCTCCGAAAGCAGCAGCATGCCCATCTCGATTTTCCTCGACAGATAACAAGCCGTCTTCAGTGTACAGCAAGGAAATGATGTCATACTCATCCTCCGATGAGCCGGAAATCGCCATGTACTTGGCCCAACTCGGACCATCCTTCACCTGGAGACACCTCTCTTTGTAGATAGACTCTGCAGCAGTTTCTCTTCAATGGGGGAAAACATAGACAACTAATAAACAACCAACCATACAATATTCCAAGAATCATAAGAAAAATGCTACCTTTGATCCATATCATTAAGACTAGTACTGCTAAGATTCACAGATTCAGTATTTTGTCGTTCATGACATTTGGGGCTTCCAGATTCTTTACTGTTCGTGATTTGGCGGAATCCAATCAGAAAAACCGCGTTTTCAAGCGTTCAGATCCGTTACTCGTGCGAAAATGTAAGCCAGATCTGAGTTAGAAACGGGGAAAGAACGAGAATATACCTCTGCATTCCAATCTGAATGAGCTCTTCAATGGCGGAATCCAGATTCTCGCGATCTTCCTTCTTGGCTAATAACTTCACCTCCTGCACGACGTGAATCCCCCACCCATTCTTCAGATCCGGCGAGTACATATGCCTAATCGCTTCCCCAATCACTTCCTTCTCTTCCTCCTTCGCAGATCCGAAGTCCTCCAGGAACCGCCGCACCGTCCGCCGCCGGAGCTCACGCGCGTCAATCCCACGCGCCCCCATCGCCCTCTGCGACGCCGTGAAGAGGCAGTTCCCGTCGGCGGAGACCTCTCCTCCGTGCGAGAGCCGGAACACTACGGACGCCGGCAAGTCGTCCTCCTCCTTCACGGGACGTTTCCACAACACACCCCTCGCGTGCAACCGCTGCAGGTGCCGTCTCTGCTGCTCCTCCAGGCCGACAACCTCGTCCCACGCGGTGGTCGCCGCCGCAACAACCGCCGCCGCCGCGGACTGGTCAACGAGATCCACGTCGTCGAGGGTCGAGGAGGCGTTCGTCGTCGGCGGTTCCCTCCACGGAACGGTCGGAGACGAGGCTTGAATCGTCGCCGGAGAATCACACAGAAGCTTCCCCATCATAATTACAGATTCAAGATTTCTTCCCTTCCACGAAGAAAAATCGATCTTTCTTCTCTTCTCTTCAGAATTCGCGTTCTCTCTCTCTCTCTACTGTTTCGTTTGAGAAGATGAGAGAGAGAGGGAAAGACCCGACTATTGGAGTTAACGGTCAGATATGGGACGCGGGAGAGGAAATATTACACGTGGCACAATCCTGGTGGTCGTTAAGAAGTCCTCTGACCAACGGACCCAGATGCTAACATGCGCCGGTGGACCACGTCACCCCATTTCTCCACCCATTTTAATTTTAATTTCTTTTTCTCCCCCTCATATTTTTGGTTGATCTATTGTCCACTAGTTGCCAGTTAATGAGCTGGCTTGTGCATAAAGTGCGCACGGTGCGTAATTTACAAGAACCAGTAGTAATTGAACACGTCAGCTAGGGTTCCGCCAATGGGAAGGGTTCCGTCAGATCCTGCGCCACATGTGTGGACTCTTCTTGGACGGCGTAAACGTCGTCGTGTGTCACGAATTAAATAAAATAAATCATGGCCCATTTTCTTGATCAGTAACGGCTATTTGACGACCGTTTTATAAATATATATATATATATATATATATACGGTACTATTTTACGGTGAAAGTAATTTATCAAATAAACATACATCGTTCGGAATTCACGATACCATTAGAATATTCGAACTAGTGATCTGTCATGATTTATATACAATTTAATAAGAATATTTGTAACAAAATAAATATGGGCTCGATGCTCAAGAATAAGAATATTCTAAAGGAATCCAGTGTTTGGGCTTTAGAGTCATGATGGGCCTGGAGAATTATGATTTATGAAACCTAAATGGGTCTATGCTCGTTAGGCCCAATAAACTACGCACTCAAAATCGAAAGGTCTCAAGGCTGCTTCGGTTTCAGAAAAATGGTGAAACCAATCATTACACGTGATTATTTAATAAATCTCTTTAAGGTAAAGTAGATTATATTTATCTGATTTATTATAATTAGGTAAAATACAAACTAATTATATATTTATATAGACACTCTGTGCGAGGCCTGTGTAATTTACTAACTTTTTATTTAGTTGTGATTTCCAAACAAAGGTTATTAATGCCGGAAAAATACGTGCTAATATTCTCAGTTGTGCTAATCTCAACATTATCTTTGGATATAGTAAAATCTATCTGTAAATACGCATTGAATTACAGTCCATTCTATTACAAAATCTGTTCCACCATTAATGGAAAATGGCAAATATATAGTTGCAAACACATATTGTATTCAATATAGTCCATTTTATTACAAAATCTGCTTCCATCGTGATGAAAATGGTAAATATAATCCATTTTTCAACTTAAAAAACTTCAGTTTTGATATGGACATAAGTTCTGACTAGATTTTCTTATAATGTTACAACTTTTACATTATCACTTCAAATTTGGGAAATTGAAAATCTCGCAACCAAAAAAAAATGGAAAAAAAAAAAAACAAAGGGAATGGAGAGAGAGAGCATCTTATTTTATCTTTTGAGTTTTAGGGTTTTGTTTTTTTCCCAAACGCAATATTTCTTTTCCTTGTTATTGCGGTGTAAGCCGCAATAGCTTTACTTGGTCGGCTGTAGGTTTTTGGGGTCAAGTTTAGTGAAATACGGAAACGCCCTCGGACCTTGCGGGGTAATTACGGAGGAGTGCCACTGGCGTTGTGGCCTGTGTTGGTTCCCGGTGCAGTAGGTGACCGGAGGGAGCACTGCGGTCCTTTTCCCACCACCACGCACCGTTCCCTCGCGTGTTGCTCACTCGCTCATGCTTTACATCATTGATATATTTTGTACGTAAAATGTTATTGATTTTGTACGATGCATTCCTTCACATCTTATGTAGGCCTGTTGCGTGTGAGTATGAGGCTTGCTAAAAGATATCAACCCTATTGATGTAATGTTATATTTTTTTATTATAATATATATGTTTTGTAGGATGCCGATGACTAAATGGAAATTAAATTGAATAATATACGTTTTTAAAAGTTATTTTTAAAAAAATTTACGAGCTTTAGATACATTTTAATATCATTTTTATGATTTAATCTACCCTTTTTAGCACGTTTTCAAGGAATGATTGAAATACGAAAAATAAATCTATATAATATGTAATATAAATTTAATAATAGGGATAATCGCATAAAAATACTCGAACTTTTACAAAAATTCTAAATAAATACCTGAACTATAAAATTGTCATATTATTAAATACATGAACTTTTCAAAACTCCCACATAAACACCCAAACTTTTAAATTTTTTCCAAATCAAACAAACACAACTGCTTACTCAGCAAAAAACTGCTAACTCAGCAAAAAAAACTGTTGACTCAGCAAAAAACTGTTGACTCAGTATTCAAAAATATTATTAAATATCCAAATATTCATCTACATGTATTTAAATTAATATATACATATAAATTCACATATATATACAAATATATATATATATATATATATATATTAAAAATAAAATTATTTATAATTAATAAAACACATATATACATTTAAAAATATTAT